GGAACCCCCCCCCACGCAGGCCCCCCCAAGGGAAAGGGAAAAACCAAAAAAAAGTTTTGTAAAAAAATTTTAAAAAAAAAAAAATTTTTTTTCCCCCCCCCCGGGGGGGGGGGGGGGGGTAGGGTTAGGTGTCGGAAAAAATTTTTTTTTGTGCAAACTAGTCTGTCCGCGATTTAATTGTGCACCGCTACACAGAGCAGCAGACTGTTGGTTGTCATTCTTCACTTTCTGTTGTCAAAAAGATTGTGCTGCCATCTACCTTATCGCTCAAGTTACGACTGACTACGCAGCAGACTCAAAAAGCATCAACACCCTTATTCGATGTATGTCACCCATGCATATGCCGCTTGGACTATTACGATGCATACCACCCATCCATGCATGTGCAGCAAGAGAGAAAAAAGGCCTGTTGTTTGTCTCAACTGTTGTGCTGCTGTTGCTTTTCAAGTATAACGACACAACAGGCGACAATGTAAACGACGCGCATCGCCTACTACGCGACGCGTGCACCCCAAAGCGACAGACACGATAGCCTACAACCTTGTCTGAAGCAATTCAGAAACAGCAGCATGGTCACTCGGTGAAAAAAAAAAAATGATTGTGGCGCGCAGCACGCCGGACCCTCTTTCGCTGTTTAACCGGCCGTTTCGATGGCGAAACAGACAAGGAACAGTCAAGGCCGAGTCGTGTCGGCCACAGGAAGTGGAAGCTGCTGAAACTCGGGGAGGGGTCATGGTTTGCGATTGCCTACCGAACCATACTTGGGGCGCCACGACATTTGCACTGTAGCTCGAGATCAGCATTTGAGACCGGGTCGTGCAAGGGGCGGGGCATGCGAACAAAAGTTCCACCCACCCACGGATATTGACATCAGAATGATGCTGGCCGTCAGCGCGGTTGCCGCCCAATGATTGATGAGCTCGTCTACCTTTGGGCAGGTGGTGGTCAATGATGGGAGTCGCAACCGTGAAAAATGAGCTGGCGAACTGAAGAAATCGCAAGCAACACCCAGGTTGCGACACTCTGCCCTGCGCCTGTCGTTGCTGAAAACTGAAAACAGCAGGCCAGGTGGACGCGATCTTTTTAAATGTGCTGTCCTCTGTGTCGGGTGCTGCTCATTGCGCTGTAACCGCTGCTCTATGGTGAGCAATACCATGTCAACCTGTTGTGTGCCGAGCAAAGCATGTATTCAGGGAAGGAAACGTACTTTTCGCGATGGCATCACGAATAGAACAAGCGAAAATACTCGGATCTTCTTTTCATCGTTCCATGAAAAAATGCGTGAATTTTCTGTTGAGTTAACAATACCCCTGTTGCAAAGGTATACTCGAGGTATGTTTTTTCTTGTTTTACCGTGCTGGCATGTTGGACTCGCCCACGTATTTAGACACCACGGCACGAATCTTGGATGTCTGAGCCTCTGCGCGGCGCACATTCGTTGACGACGTTCATGCCATTTGTTACCTGTGACGCTTAATCGTGCTCACCGTGGTAAACCACGGATCGAACCATCACTCATAGCCCCCACCGACTCATAGTACGCACTGTAGGGCTTACCCATGGTGACCAGCGTCGGGAATTCCCTGGGAGTTGTTGTCCATGGGCACACGCGAGAATCATTACCGCCGTGGTTACCCTTTTTAATCACCGTGTGCACCCGTGGAGAGCATCGGGGAACAGTCCCGCTTCTGTGTATACGTGACTTCTTGAACCCCAACTTGGCTTCCACTATTGTTTTCGCAACAATTCCGTCAGCGTTTCTGCTAGCTCTGCCCCGTCAAGCCCAGCAGCAATCCTACGCATTCTGGCCGCTCGCCCCATTGGGGAGCGGGGGGGCAATCGTTCCCCCCTAGTTTCCTTGGTAGTCCGAAACGGTACTAAGCCGCACCCTACCGTAAAATTCGCACGTGGCCAGATGCTTCTTGCTCGTTCACGCGAGGGTCTATACCGACGAATTTCACCCCGGAATCATCTGGTGTGGTGTTCTCGATGAACCGTAAGCGAGTCACGGAGGTGGTTCGGCCTCACGCTCAATGCTCGAATCATGTCACCTGCATACGGGTATAGAATGTCATTTACTCGTGTACCACAAGCTAAAATACCCTTTGGAGCATCCCTCACGTCCAAGGTCGTGTCATGGTCGAAACGACATCCTAAATCCCAGACGGAATCACTGATGTATCTCGGACGATCAAATTACACGATGCCGCAGGCCTCGATCTACGTGGTGTGGCTGCCGCAGTATTGATATTCGAAAGCGTCTAGCTTTCGCTGGAGGCGTGACGAGAGTTCGTCTCCGGCGTCGAAGGGCAGTGTCTCGTTAGGTTTGTGACGAGGTGCTGCTGCAGATCCCAGCATCGCCTCTCTGACCATTGACGCTACCTCTTGGTTCGGGGCGATGAACTCTGCAACTCTCTGAGCCTGTTCGATGCCCCCAAAGTAGACCCAGTCGTGACATGCCACGAATTTCGGGTCCAGCTCACCAAGGAGGGAGTGGACAACTGCAATTTCCGTGAACAACACCCGTACATACCTGGGTATTGGGCGAAAGACGTCGGTGAGCACCTCGAGAGCAGCTCTCAAGGCTAGGACGAGCGGATGGAAGTAACGTGTTTAACATCGAGGGCCTGTCGTTGCCCCGCTGACGGGGGTTGAATTTCAGTAAATATGCTTCAACACGATCGAAGATCGACGCCAACGCCCCACACCTTCATGATCAACCGTCATAGGCCAACTTGTACAAGGGAGTGGGTGGCGTTGAGGAAGCAGAGGTTAAACATAGGTGCCTACGGTTGACCTGTGGCCGATTTGCGAAAAGTGTGTGGATCGCGTGTTAGTGTTATAAATATCTTCGACCGAAACTAACACGCGATCAAAAACAAATAGTCCTACGTACTTCTACGAGTCACGCAAGCAGAAAATGGCACGGTTTGCTAACTTGACCGATGTGCACCACCACCATCTCGAAAATGAGCGCCACAAAAAATGTAGCTTGCGCATAATCTTGTACGGGAAACGGTCCTATGCATACCATCTAGCATTCGTAAAGTTTCGTCGGCCGATTGGCGTGTTGGACGAGTTCGAGCGAAAAAACGTCCAAAAACATTGAAATTTGAGCCAAAAAAAGGGCATATCCATGCCAGCAAGAAATACGTGTTTCTCATTGGGACTTCTGCTATGCCACATGAACTACAGAAATACAGCTGCAATATTATGCACTTCGACGGATGAAACAATGCATCAAATAGTGGGTAATTGGACATAGACGGCCAAAGACGCCCGCGTCAGTTGGACCCATACGGATGGTAGAAGGTACCGCGCTAAGACGTTGACGGTTCAGAATTTGACGACTACGTACTCCACCAATCAACGATGTTCTGCTGATGAGGGTTACGCTGTTTTCCGCTACGAAGAACTTACGTCATGAACCGCTTTTCCGCCGAAGAGTCGATATCGCCCAGAAAGCTGCCAATCCGGTTGGAGTGAAGGAAAGCGTGCGTGTTTGACGGCGGCCGCACGAATAATATGCAGTCGTTCAGGAAAAGCCAGGAAAAGGGAAAGATATGCCGTTTCGTTGAATCAGATGTCGACACGGAAAGTTGCCACGGTGTCCAGGGTGGTACCGTTATTGAAACACACAAAGGAGAGGGTTCCATGTCGTCGTTCTTCCAAAAAAAGTGTAGAGTTGTAACTGTCTTTGCAAGGCACACGGAATTAGATCCGACTGGGAAGTGTTTTTGATCTGTCGGGGGAGCAATCTACCATTGCAACAGTTTGTGACGGCACAAGGTTTCTAACGGTGTTTGAGGATCACCAATCGATTCATGGATGTCGTGAACAGAGGAAATAGGTACAAAGGTAAAGCTCGCACCAACGTCAGTACTACGAAAAGTCTCACTTTTGAAACCCCCGATGGACGGTGTCGGCCAACAAGAGCTCCTTCGCTGATCGTTTCATGTACAGAACGCGAAGGTCAACTCCTTCCGCCTCTGCCGCCTCGGCCAACAATCGCAGATCCACGTACTGTTGAACTTTTTGAGGACCATTGCCGCAAGGGTAGGAAATTCCTCCGGTGATGAGCTGAACAGTCCCTGGGGTTGGCAGTGTCTGGGCACGCTGCGCTAAATCTCTCATTTGGTCCCGGCCTTGCTGCCAGGATGCCGTGAACGCCGTTGAGCTTGTTCTCATGGTAGTAGAGATGAAGAACTTCCAGAAGTTTGGCAATTTCTCGTCGAAACGAACCAGGTCTGGGTGTGCCTTAAACATGTCTTCGAATGCTCCTGAAGCACAAGTGGTGATTTTTTCGTACCGAGCGAAGTGCCAAGGTATTCATGCACTGCTGAGGACAGTTGTACGGAACAATACACAGCTGTGCGAGGTATTGCAATTTGTGTAAACCGTGTTGAAAGCAACAACATTAACCCGCGGACAAACGCTCAGAGCATCTGATAGTAGTGCCGGTCCGGCTCGTTCAAGTCGCGAGAGCGATGTCAAAAAAGGTGGAGGAGAAGGCGAGATGTTCGATGAATGAAACGCTTGCCTAGATCACATACCTATTATGTAGTGATGTCCCGCTCCCTCAAGCCCTAGCTGGAAAACTACACGCATGTTGTTGCTGATCACGGCCTTGTTGACTACCGCACCAGGTGGTGGGCGATCGTCGGCAAGACCAAGTTGGAGGTTAGCAGCCGATGCCACGCCTCCTATAGGATGAACAGCCAGGAGCCGCAGGAGTGACCCGACCAGGAGGGAACCAGCGAGGCCAAGTGCACCACGCATGTTTGGGGTGTCCCTGGTGCGCAAAACGAGGGGGTATCAATAGGTTGCAGACATCCTGGACTGTTCTGACGAAAGCGTTTGGGGTGATGGGGGGTGGGTCAACTATCTGTGGTATCGGTCGAATGGCCGCATCGATTTGGTACACGGAGATTCTCGGTGTTATGCCAGAGGTCTCCGAAATCTGGTGCCACTCGTGATGCTCCGAACCCAGTGGACACAGGCGTGCGGGAAAAAATCGAAAAGAAAGTATGCGAAACCGCCAGGTTAAATAATACGGTAAGATCTTCAGCCACAACATCTTCATGCAGAAGGTCGCAAAATCAATGCATGCACCAACTAGGGCTTCATATTCAAGATGGCCTTAACTTAACCTAGATGACTCGGAACCTCGAAGCGAAACCCGACGAAGTTCCTACCATACGCAGTGATATTCCGGTGGCCGTGCCGATCTTGGGCGGGACGGCCACCATACCCTAATATGTACATCTAACATTCGGTCATTATTAGCCTTAGGCATTTCTTTCTCTCGCGGCAGTGAGTCTTTTCTCGCGCTTGCTCTCAGGGACACGCAGGAGGCTCGTCGGCACACTTCCACTCGTGAGCAGAGCTCGACAGGCCTACGTGGGACGTGTGGCTGACGGTCAATGTCGCAAAAACTGGCTCTATACCCCCGGGACGGGTTCCGCGCAGACAAGGCCTGGCGAGCCAATTCTGAAACCCATAAAACACGACAGGAAGGAAATGGCCCGCACGTACAATTCAAACAGGTGTCTCGCTGCAAACAACAACTAGGCGGACGAACCTGACCATATGTCCCCACAATGAATCCCAACCCATGTTTATTCTTCAAGCTGTCGTCACCACCTCGGTTTGGTTGTGGTACTTCGGGCTGAACATCAGGTCCAGTTTGCCGCCTTATGTCGCGAGCAAAGATGTGCATGTATTTGAAACTAGGGTTAAGGATTGGCCGCCCGCCCCCCAATGGGGCGGGCGGCCACACCGGGATGGATGACGGGGAGGGTTTGGGGGGAAGTTGGGAGTGCAAAGAAGAAGACGACACGTTAGAAGAAGAAGGAAGGGACGGTGTGTGGAGACGAAACGAAGGCGTAAAGAGGTGAAGACGTTCGCGAAGAGCGAGAGGGCACAAGAGGGTGAAGCATCGGCCCCCGCGCCCCCAATGGGCGGGGGGGGGCATCAGGTGCGACAGATGCCGAGTAGGTCTACTGCGAGAACGGCGGACGTGTGCTGCGCGGCTATGGCCGATGCTTTAAATATGTTGTCCTGCAGTACAGTAGTTCGAGACCACCTCTCGACCATTTGATTTCGTGGGCAGACTAATACAGATAGCGTCCGCAGTTACGAAACGTCAAAATCGGGTCGAGCCTCAATCATGCAAAAACTTCGTGTTCAAAGCATTTGTTGTCCTATACGACCAAGACGCGCGACACGATTCGCGTGATGAATCAATCCATATCCTTCATTTCGTGCGGCAATAGTCGATCCGTCTACTTATTTGTTCCAAACCATTGACGATAGCAACAATTGCAACTTGATGAAGTACATACTGCTGTTTGGAGAAGGAAAAAATATATACTACATACAGTACATAGAGCGAATACAATATACTTCGAGCACATAACACCGTAGCCCCCATGGTAAGGAACCGAAAGAAGCTTAAGTATTTTGTGTGATGGATACAAACGAACAACGCATGCACAGGGCGCTCTTGATGCTATGGGCATGGGCCTGCGGAAAAATAGGGGGAAGAAAAAGCAACCAGCCCGACCTTAAGCTCGGGGCGGATGACAGTTGCGCATGCCGTCCCAACACCTACTCCATAGTGAGGAATCTACTGAAATGGAAAAATCGCGTATGTATACAAAGTGATAATACACTGAGGAAGACTGTAAGGAAGGGCGAGTGCGCAGCAGTAGTTTCCACATATTGGTGTGTCGGGCCGCACGACAGCGGCCGCAACTCCCTCTGCTTTCGTTGTGATGAATAGGGACATGCACCAGATTACAGCAGTAGAGTGCTTTGTCTCGTGGCATGCGGAGAGTTATTACGCGAAAAGGAAAACGTTGCTGTCGCGTCCGTTGTATGCTGCATCAAGCGTGGTGCTGCTGCTGCCGACATTCATAAACGCGCGTCCAAAGCTGTGCATAAAGCCTTACTTGGCTCGCGGTAGGTCTGGAAGTACGGCCGACCCGTGCTGCACGTCTATTCTATGCTGTCAATCAGTTGCGACGTGTGTCGGCCTTTATCATGCGCGCGCGTGATTCAACGTGTGTATCTGTTGCTGTGCGTGCTGCTGCTGCGTAAAACAGCGTGGTGTGCATACATGCGTGCTACAATAGCAAAGCAGCGCTACCGCTAATTGGCCTGCGGTAGGTCTACAACTACGGCCGACGCGTGCTGCACGCCTGTGCTCCGTGCTGTCAATCATATGCGACGCGTGTCGGCCTTTTATCATGCGATTGCGCGTGACTGAACGTGAACCTCCTCCGGTGTCTGGTCCATACTGGTGTAGCCGAAATAAATATTTCGAGCTACAAGATGTTTTGTTTCCCATACTCAGAGTAAAAAATGTGTCACCAACGACACGTTGACCATCCTGCAAGTATATATATAGTGTGATAGCATGATATGTGTCTCTTGGCTGATGCCCACCTGCATCATATATCATTCGCTGATTACACCTCGCTGTGATTCTTCGTGTTATCGCACGCAATGCATAAAATCACCTATCTCTGCTCTTCTACACTTCGCAGCGGGCCCAGCGCAACACCGCTCGCTGCTGCAGACAAGGCTGAGCGCATGCACCCACAATGTTGATCGGTTGGTGTTCATTTGTGGTGTTGTTTCTGATTCAAATGTTCTCATTGAAAAACTGCCTATAACAAAAATCAGTTGTGGGGGAATGATTTTTCCATGGCAAGTTTTTGTCCGCTCGAGCTGACTCCAATGTAGAACACGTGCCGGCATGCTAACGTGATGTACATGTCAATTCAAAATAAAAACAGCCTATTTCGGGCAATACGCCGCGGTCTTGCGTCGCCCGAGGGAGGCTTGACACCCACGTTGCTAACGGAGACCTTGTATATATATAACCTATTTTTATATGAAGGACTTCCCCCCCGCCCCCCAATAGGACGGGCGGCCAGAACTTGACGGGCGGACGTGCAGACGAGAAGTAAGTAGGGTTGAGGCGTGAGTCATTGGAGGTTAGCACCCCAGCAACTACGTGGCGGGCAAGGCACTTAGAACGACAGCGTCTTCCCATGAATTCGGAAGATAGGAAGCCTAAACCGCAGAGGAAAAGGTCCACAGACAGGAAAGGTGGAAAACGTAACAACCTTTCGAAGGCAACATATGGCAAAACATGCATACTCATCATGACTCTCGCGCCCAGAAACGTTAATGACAGTTCGAGATATCAGTTTTAGTACGTAACAAACAAACATTAAGTCCTCGGGAAAACACAGCACAAACCAGACAAAGGTCCCGACGAAAAGCCAACCCGTTGAGCAAAACAATCAAGATATATACGAAGCTGTGAATTACATCGTGTGTGGGAACATTTATGCGCGGGAAAAGCCAAAAAATGGTACAGAAACGTTGGGGAGAAAACACTCGATACGAATTGGATCACTATTGCAGTAGTCTATCAGACTAACGCACGAAATCGCACTCACGGCTACTGCTGCTGTAGTGTTATGGCATCACACATACACGACACAATCAATCCGACGAGGTGATGTGCCGCAAGACTGGGGCGGGGATGCTGACGTTGTTGGATTCTTTAACCACTTGCTGATGGGTCCTGTAGCTTCGCATGTATTCGATGTTGTTTCAGCTGTTGTTCGTGAGCGGTGTCCCACTCAGCGTTTTCCCTCTACGATGCCTTGGCGACATCCTGTGTTCACCTTTTCATGTCACCGGTGATGAGGTGTCGGCACCGCCGGGTTGCCGTAACATGCGTTCCATTTCGGGATACCAACTTGTGTGGAGTCGCATACCATGTTTAGCTGACCTGTTCCAGACGAGTCTCCTCATTCCGTGTTCGGGGCGCGATCGGCCATGTGGATCGGTTTCGTCGTCACATTCTTATGTGCTGGGGTATTGACATCTGCCAAATCAGACATGTAAAGTACTCTTACGCGTCGTTTTGACTCGTGAGGCACATGGCGAGCTCGCCTGGGCTCGGGGGAATCATCGCATAAGAAGAGCGAGATAAGATTTTTTGTCCGCGAAAAGTGGCTATGCAAATGACTATGCAAATACCGCCCACCAAGCCGGTTCTCCATATTGTTCAGCTCCCGACTATTCGGTTCCGCTAAGAGCGGCGTAGCACTCTACCGTCTTAGCTTCATCGAGAACGATCGGTCACGGATTCTGGGGGAAGGAGCTGTTGGTACTACAACCGCGATTGCGGTCTATCACCAGCTATCCCGAATAGTTGCGTGTGCACTTGAGTATTATCTTCA